GTGAGACTTCCTGGGGTGGCCCGGGACCCTGAGCCTCGGGAGACAGGTCCCGGCAGATTTTAGAGGTGCTTGATCTCTGTCCTGTTCAGTTTGCCTCCGAAAGGACAGGCACTCAGGCTGTGTCTCTGTGACCCGCTCCCCCCGGCCAGCTTCGCGCCACCCCAGAAGCTTCCTGCCACACTCCTGCGGCCACTGCTTTCCTGTGAGTGGCTCTCTTGCTGGCCTCCATCAGAAATGCATGGTCCCCAGGAGGACCTCAGCCCAGACGCAGAGGGAGCGGCAGGTTCTCCTCGGCCCATCAAGGTGCCCTAAAAGACATGCTGTGAGGATGTCCACCATTTGGGGACTGGATGAGAGACCGCTGCTGGCGCCCTACCAGGCAGGGCCGAGCTCTCCTGGTGAAGGCTCCCTTGGTCAGGGATCCACGGCTGCCCAGACACAGAGCCGTGTGCTGATTAGGAAGTGGAAACACTGGAGCCAGCCAAGTCCCACTTACAGAGTTGGCTTTGGTGGACAGTCCTCCGTAACGCCCCTGTGTCACGGTGTAACCTAAGAGGGATTCAGTTGAATCTCTCCATGACACAATCAAGTCCATCCTGTTCTGATTTCAATGCGGAACGGAGACCTGGCTGCAGCTGGGCCAAGCATCATCGGGGTGGGCGGCTCTCACCTCCTCCTCCTAGGCTAGGTGCTGTGACAGACGGTGCAGGTGGCCACGTGTTTGACAAGCCCCCTGGGGAACGAGTGCCCACCTTTCCATCAGATGTCCGTGCTCTGAACGAGGTTCCTGTGAGCACAAGCAGACAGCCACCCGCAGCTGAAAGGAAGGCCAGCCTGTGGGCAGCGTCGGGCTTCTGAGGCAGAGACCCTCTAGGTGGAGAAGCCCTGCCGGGGGCGTGGGGGCACAGTGGCCATGCCGTGCAGTGCAGTCGGCATGAGCTGCAGAGACACTCCTGGACCACGAAGCTCTGGTCAGATGGCATTTCAGTTATTCCTCTGGATTGAGCCGCTTCTCATTGCTTCCTGTAGTAGGGGAAATGATGACCCCGGAAAGACATGTTCACCCAGAAACTGCGAGTCTGACTTAAGTTGGAGAAAGGATCATTGCAGATGGAGGGGCCTTAAGTTAGGGACCTTGAGATGAGTGGCCCCTAAGTGTCCAAGAGTTCTTTGTAAGAGGAGGCTGAAGACACCCAGAGGAGAAGGTCAGGTGGAGACAGGCAAAGCCTGGGGTGCTGTGCCTCTGGCCAAGGCCCAGCAGCAGCCAGCAGGAGCCGGAGGAGCTGGAGGGAGGCCTGGAGGAATCCCCCCTCGCTGCCGCACCTCCACGTCAGCCCTCCAGCCCCCACCCGGAGCGCAGAGGAAGCGCATTCTGTTGTTTTAAGCCACCTGGTTTGTGGTCATTTGTTGTGGTGGCCACAGGAAATGAATACACCTCCCCGGGGAAGCTCCTGCTGCCCACGCACAGCCAGCACCCCTCAATCTGAGTCTTGTTTTGTGCTGGGTGTAATTATACCCCTGCCGTGAACACCAAGATCTCAATGCACCCGACGTTGCCTGAAGCTGGCCTGCGAGAGGCATGGCCCTCGGTGCCAAAAGGTGAGGGGTCCTGGGAGGACCTGACAGTGCCAACGCGCAGGTGCGCCCTGCTACAAGGGGGATGGCCTGAACAAGGCCTCTTACCACCCTGAACACTGGGGACTTTCGCATGGGCAGGCTCATTGCCACCAGCTCCCCGGTGACCAGAGTCCTGCCCTGCTTTGTGGGGTCTGTGGTGGTGGGCAGGTGCAGGGCTGGCCATGCTCGCCTTGCTTGGCCAATGGTGGCCTCTGAAGTCTCAGTGATGGAGCACAAGAGAGGGGTCATCTAGCAGGTGGGCACTGCTCAAGCAGCCCAACTCTCCTGGAAGAGGTGACTCAGACTTCCCAGTTGTTTGTATGTTGCACCTCAATCTCCTGGGAACCCACTGCTCTTGGTCCTGCAGAGGAAGAAAAAATGTGGCAAAGGGTCGTCCTTTCAGAAGTCCCTGTTGTCACTCAGGTTACCTTAGTTGGAATCAGTGGCAGGACCAGGGCTCAATCCATGGCAGGAGAAAGGGGAGGAGCACAGGAGTGTGCAGGGGGCCTGAAGAGCTCCCGTCTCCTGGGGATAGAAGGGAGAGGGCACTGCTGCCAGCCTGTCCTGAGACCTTGCTTTGCCTGCCCTGGCGGGAGGCCACCCCAAGGCCAGGTACAAACAAGCAAACATACAACCCAGGAGGTCAGTGCTACTGAGGGGTGTCCTGGAAATCTGACAAGCTAATGCTCATGAGTGCTTGGGCCGCACTAGCTGCTCCCTTCTGATGCTATGTGCCAGCTGAGGCCATTGTCACGTTCACGTCCGAGGAGGAGCTGGGCACTTGTCAGGCCCTCATGGCAGGTACGCACCCTGAGGCTCACCATCGCCCCGCAGGGGCCGCTTGTCAGGCAGTGCGTCTGCCTCCTGCAACACGGAAGCTGTGGCTTCTTCTCTTGCTTCTCAAAGTGTGGTCCGCAGTCCAGCAGCATTAGTGACGCAGGTAGCTTGTTAAACTGCAGAAGTCTGGGCCTCACCTAGGGCTGATCAATGAGACCTTGGGTTGTTGCAAGTCCCCCAGGATTGCTATGCTCACTGCAGTTTGAGAAGCAATGATCCATAGAATCTGTTAATTCCAGAGCAAATTGATGAGAATTCTAGATTAATGTCTACGCGAATGGTGTTGATCATGATCTTAAAAGAGAAGCAGAGAGGTGAGAGTTAAGAGGACTTTAAGAAAATCAAGACACAAAGACCCATGTGCATAGCAAGAAAGAATCACTCAAAAACTCCAGGGTTGGAATCCACTTGACAGCTAAGAGTCCCTCCCAGGGGTACGAGAGCAAGATCCTTTCATTTGGCAAAGGGCCTGAAATTAGGATCTGGACCCTGAGCCAAGGCCTTGGCTCAGGCAGGAGGCCCTCAGAGCAGAAGTCTTTGTTTTTAAGATTACCCGTCTGTCTGTCTGTCTGTCTGTCTGGTCAAGAGAGGCAGCTGATTTAGGAGGGGTGATCATGCCTACCACATAGCATTTCAGAGAGGAAACAGTGAGACGATGCTGAAGGAGCTTTAATTCAGCATCTAGTATAAATCCACGGCGGCCGCACTTGATGTCAATTATTTCTTTAGAGAAAGTGATCGGGGCACAAGGCTTGGCACGGAATGGCGCTCTGCACCCTGCACCCTGCACCCCGGGTGACACCCTTCTGGCTGGAGTTTCCTGGATCCTCTCAGGTAATTAGGGTGGTCAGCCTTCCACTCCCCGGGCCTGAGCCATGCCGGGCAGGTCTCCGTCTGCTTGTTGGCACAGGGCTGGTGAGGAGTTTCCCTGGCTCAGCAGTTGTGCGGGGAGATCTCAATGTTTGGCGACATGAAGGTTGGTGTGGTGGCTGAGGGACCTTATCAGTTGAGGACTTTCAGCTGTGAGTTGATCAGACTCCAGGGGAAAGGTGGCTTATTTTCTCACATACCACCCGTCCTGGGGTCAGGCAGCGGGGGCTCCTTATTCCTGTAGTCAATGGTATCACCCAAGACGCGGGTTCCCGCGGTATCTTCTTTCTGCCGCCCTGACGTGCTCTTCTCGTAGTGTCAGAGTGGCCTCAGGCTCTCCGGGGACCGTGTCTTGATGCACTAAAACTCAGAGGCAGTGGAGGAGAGCTCTCTGTCCCCACGTCTCATTTTCCCACCTAGAGAACAAGCTGGGAACCCAGATACTCACTGCTCTCCAGAGTCCCTTCAGCCCACTGGTCAGAATTGTTGACCAACTGGCCACTGTCCGCATTGTCAACAGGCCACAGGCCGCAGTGCTTATTAACTTCATGCCTCAGAGTAGTCTTAGCTGGAGCTGGGGAAGGGCCAGGGGCAGCAGGGGCCTTCCAAGCAACCTCCAGGCTCTCCCAGCAAGAACGATGAAGGGCACTGATTTGTGTGGGTTCCCCACAGGGCCTCCCTCCGTGGCCTTTGCCCCAAATCTAACTAGATTGACCCTGATACCAGTGTCCCAATTATCTGCACAAATAGGTGCAGAAAGAGCAGAACAAAGACGGTGGGTGCTGGGGAGTGCTCATGCCCAGTGTTGCTCAGGGATTTGTAACTTCACCAGAACCAGTTGATTCTAACAGATCTCTCGTCTCCTGTAGGTGGACGGGGTCCTGGTGGGACCTCTGAGTTGGCCCACACTAGGATTCATATCCATTCATATTCATTTCTCGCCAGTTGGGCACCTCCTAGGAAGAATACTCAGGACTGAGACTCCCAGGCAGCCCCAGGAGCCAGAGCCAGGGTCACATACACATGGGCTTTCTGAGACATTCAGGTTCCTTTTGTAACATGGCAAACAGGAAGGAGCCATGCCACTGAAATAGCTTTTGACATGGAGAATGGGGTAGACACAGGTGGGACCGGCAGTTAGAGCCGCCATGCCTATCGCAGCTTCTGTGAATCTTATACTAGAGCCACACCTCTGTGGCAGGCGGCAAAGGACTGGAGAGAGGAGGGGGCCGAGGACATTTGCCCAGGAACCAGGGCAGGATCCTGAGGGCTGCGGACATCCCTCACCCTGCAGGTGCCAGGACCACAGGGCAATGCGTCTTGGGAGCGAGTGGTTCCTACTTTTACGCTGAGGCTGGTGTGGCTCACAGCCCTGCACTGATTGGCTGACTTTGCTTTTGATAAAATTAGGGATACTTCACACTGGAGTCAAGCACCACACTTGGTGGTTTAGCTCTGATTCACCAGCAAAAATAACAGCCCTTCTAGGGCAAGAACGGGGGCAGGTAAGTCATCCCGGCACCTCTGCCTAGTGGAGTGTCCCCTATATAATGGGTGTCACAACTGTTTGTATGTGTTATTTTTAGCAGCATTTTGACCATCATGACTACACCCCAGCACACTTCAAATTACATAGCAGAGCCAGATTCGTCGAGGTAATAATGGACACAGACACATCTGTGTGAAATAGGCTCTTGCAATTGTCATGACTTACCACGGCGACTCTTCAATTAAACATGTAAATTTTAGTTTTCAAGAGACATGGGCAGTTGAAATCAATTGAATGGGAAGTCAGTGTTTCAGGGAATGAGGACAGTCATGAGGAGTCACCAGAAGAACGAGAATCTTGTAAACAGCTCCCCAACAGCCTCTTGCTGGAAGCGTCCACTACTGCGTCTGCAGTGTCAGAACTCTCACAGGGAGGGGTGTCCACCTGTGGGAAGCCTTTGGCCACCCTCCCCCAGAATTGGAAGCTTTCTTATCAGTGAAAACGAAGAGGGACCTCAGGAGCTGTTGGGCCAGTCCCCGAGAAACAGGGTGAGCAGGACGCGGCTGCAGGTGCGGCAGGAGGCGGCACTGGAGACCAGGGTCAGGGGAGGCAGAGTGGCATCCTCTGCAGGTTGGCGACTTGCCCTGCAGGTCGGCAGCCACGGGCTTCTCCATCTATTAGCTCATGCTGTGCAGAACACCCCTGAGGGGTGGGCAGGCAGGGACTCTCAGCCTCATGGAGTACTGGACGGATCCGAGGCCGAGTGGAGCCTCCGACACCCGCCCGCCCGGGCTTTTCTGCTGTGCGTAATGCCCCTGGATGAGACAGAGAGGCAGTGTCCCTGTCACAACCTGTCCTGAAAGAAATACCAGAGACAGTTATGCAAGGTCAGGCCCTGATGCAAGAGCGGTCATCTTGTCCTAGCCCCTGGGGTGGGTTCTTTACAGTGGAAAATCCCGGGATGAGCAAGGGGTGAGGCATGATGGCCGAGGGGCCCTCCGGGTGCTGCAGGTCAGCAACACCAGTCCTGACTCCTCTCCTTCCTAGACTGGGAGTCCCTCCGCAGAGTTCCCTGGAGCTGCGGACCTCCCCAGACCAGGAGCGGCAGGCTAGGTGGGCAGAAGGGACCTGAGCACCCTCAACAGCGGCTAATCTCGGGAGGAGAGAAACTGACCTCTACCTTGGTTTTCTCCTCTGTAAGCAGATGGAACCAGTTGGCCTGTTGGGGCCTTGGGAGGAAGAAATAAGATGAAGCATATATGAAGCCCCTGGCAGGTGGCTGGCCCACACTGGGCCTGTCGCAACGGCCTTGGCACCATTACACAAGCCAACAGGTGACAAGGACGGGGCTGCCCCAAGTGTCACGATGCTCCTCTTGATTAATAAATGCAAATGGGATACTTGTCATTCCAGACTCATGCCAAGTATGACTCAAAACTCGCGGTTCTACCTTCACCCTCACCGACTCAGTGTTCTCACTAGGAGCAGTCCAGGTGAGCAGTTACAGGTAAGGCTGGACACTCAAAAAGAGAGTCCCTACTCTGAGAACTGAGCAGGGCTCAGCCACCCGCCGGT